TCAAGTTATGATGTGAGTAAAAAAGATTGAAGTTGTCTCTGCTATATCTCCTGTTGAAGTCACTGGAGATGTACTTGGTGAAATGAACAAGAACACAATTCCCGACATAATTCATTTAAATGCACACATCAAATGAAGTTTTGCAACATGTTTTTTTTTTTTAAATTTGCTCTCCTTCATAATGATTTCCTTGCTATGTTCTGTGTGAAAATTGTGAATTAAAAGGATACAAATTCAAAACTTTTGAAATTAATTATTTTGTAATCTCCTTCCTGTTGTTGTCACGCTCAGTAGCTCAGTAACATAGCAACCTGACAACTCATCTATTGCATGTATACTTACAGGGGATAACATGGTTGTCTTCCTCTTGTAATGACTACTAGGTGAAATAGTACTGGATCTCCTCTGAAGTCGCATTGGTCTCTCAGGTTGTCCTTGATTATTACTACTAACTGTTCTCAGGATATCTGATATTGATCTTGGTGTCTTCTCTTCATTCTGTTGGGATGACTCTCCAACAGGTGTCAAGAGATGAACCTGTTTTGCAGGTTTGGGTGATAACTCACTTTTGACATTGGACGGTTCATCACTGAAAGATGCATAATTTTGTCGCTTGTGGAGCACAGATTTTAGTTTCACATCACTAGAAGTTTGATCCGTTTCTGTTTTCTCATCAGTTCCTTTCACATCCATATCCAATTTTCCTTTCCGCTTCTGCAATATTCTTCTATTAGGATCTTTTTCTTGCGTTGCACTTTTCACACTAACTAAGGGGAGTTCATCAGTTACTTCACGTTCTTCATCACTGGGACTGACTCGTGGATCTCTTTTGGTGTGATGCATGTTCACAGAGAGTCAATTCACCGTTCAATGCTGTGGAAAAATTAAAGTAACAATGATTCATTTCACAAATTCCCTTAATATCTCATACATAATCATGTGATTTTATTTCATTTTGACATATATTTTAGAAAACCAAACTGGAAATCATGACTCCACTTTAATGACAGGTCAAATATTTAAATTTTAAGAAAGTCTTAGAACATATGTGATAATAACAGAACCCTATGGTTTTGCCCTGCTGTTTGTGTGGTATGCAATTTATTTTCATTTGAGATGTGGTGTAACCATGCTGTAGTTTCAGGAATACATCACATCGCACAAGGACATGAGATTTATTATCATCTATTATTATTACGGTATACATAGATGCCGTTATTATAATGTAGATGCCGTATATAAATATATATTTGTATAAAGGCAACTGTAACTACCTCAAAGTCACATCAAGCAGTGTAGTACCTAATGCAGCATCCCAGTTTGAGCATGCAGAGTAAGAATGCGATGGGAGGGCATGGCCAATATATTTCCTGGCTTTTAGAAAGCAATTATAAAGAGTAATATATAACTAAAAAATACAGACAGGATGATATAGCTTAATTTCCAAGATGCAACTAAAATGAACCAAAAAAAGTATATGTTAGAGACATACAATGTACCTATATGTATATGCAAAACTTGATTTGCCAGCTAGTACTAATCCCTTTTTATGGTACCACCTTAGCTACTCTATTGACATTGGTTGTTTATTCTGTTGATTTAGCTCTTGAGCTGACTGATAAGTACAAAACATGCATGTTTCATATGAAAACAGTTGTAAGCAGTAATTTTAATAAAGGAATCAGGGTTTGTCTGCATTATAGACATCAGGGTTTGTCTGCATTATAGATATCAGGGTTTGTCTGCATTATGGATATCAGGGTTTGTCTGCATTATAGATATCAGGGTTTGTCTGCATTATAGATATCAGGGTTTGTCTGCATTATAGATATCAGGGTTTGTCTGCATTATAGATATCAGGGTTTGTCTGCATTATAGATATCAGGGTTTGTCTGCATTATAGATATCAGGGTTTGTCTGCATTATAGATATCAGGGTTTGTCTGCATTATAGATATCAGGGTTTGTCT